CAGCACTTGGCAGGGGCAGCAATAGCTGTTCCAAGGTAGTTTTCATGAGAGATGACTTGTTTGCTTGATGACTAATTAATTTGCTTTCAAAGAACATTTTGGCTCATTGTAAGAGTTATTTGCAAGTGTATTTTGAATTGGGGTGTGTGTGTCAAAATCATTTGGAAGAAGCAGCCTACATTTACCAAATAACTTCCGGAAGGAGTGGTGCTTCCCCCACATAGCAGCCTGAAGTTTGGGGTGTTCAAACAAAGCCTGGACCTCCGATCCACTCCCTCTTCTTCCTCTCTCTGTAAGGGGACTGCCCAGTTTGTCCCTAACAGCCGAAGTAGAGTCTACTGAAGTGTGCTCAATAGCACAAAATGAAAGGATTTTGTGCTAGCTAAATATTTATTGAGGCAAGTTTTTTTTTTTTTTTACAAAAAAAAAAGGAGGGGGGGATGGGAGAAAGGGGATCTAGCTTGGTAGCTAGGACGTAAACTCCTAAAATTTGATATGAATTTCAGCCTAACTGCATGGAGTGTTTCAACATTACACAGGCTGCACTAGCATTAACAGGAAAGACAATTTTTTCTATTCCAGAATGCCACTTCTACTTTTGTCTTGTTTTCTCCTGTGCAGTTTCCATTTTCTTATGTTTGTAGAATTGTTTTGTGTGTAGGTTTCTACACGGCAGGCTAAATGTACTCTCCTGGGTTCTCCAGTGTTTCGTGCTTGCTCCAGGCTCATATGGGTTCAGACTGCCGCCAACAGAAGCTGTTGTCCTGTCTTCCTTCTCTCATTTCAGTGCTGTGAATTCCTTTTCTGTCTCCCCTGTACCAGAACTAGTACTGTGGGGTTTGAAGGATAAACTAGAAGATTTTTTTTTTTTCCCCTCTACTAATTTTCAGCCTCAATCATCTTTTGCAGACTCCTTGGAATTTCTTTCTAATATCTAATCTAAATCTACCCTCTTCCAGTTCAAAACTGTCACCCTTGTCCTATCGCTACGCTCCCTGATAAAGAGTCCTTCTCCATCTTTCCTGTAGGCCCCCTTTAAGTGTTGGAAGGCTGATGTAAGGTCTCCTCGGAGCCTGCTCTGCTCTAGGCTAAACAACCCCAACTCTCTCAGCCTGTCCTCGTATTGGAGGAGCTCTAGCCCCCTGATCATCTTTGTGGCCCCCCTCCGGACCCACTCAAGCAGGTTCATGTGTTTCCTATGCTGAGGGCTCCAGAGCTGGACACAGGACTCCAGGTGGGGGTCTCAGAGTGGAGCAAAGGGGCAGAATCACCTCCCTCGAGCTGCTGGCCGCGCTGCTTTTGGTGCAGCCCAGGATACAGTTGGCCTTCTGGGCTGCAAACACACATTGCCAGGTCATGCTGAGCTTCTCGCCAACCAGCACCCCCAAGTCCTTCTCCTCAGGGCTGCCCTCAATCTATTCTCTGCCCAGCCTGTATTTGTGCTTGGGATTGCCCTGACCCATGTGCAGGACCTTGCACTTGGCCTTGTTGAGTTTCATGAAGTTCACACAGGCCCACCTCTCTTGCCTGTCAACGTCCCTCTACATGGTATCCCTTCCCTCCAGCGTGTTGACCATACCACAGAGCTTGGTGTCATCAACAGATTTGCTAAGGGTGCACTCAATCCCACTGTCCATGTCACCAACAAAGATGTTAAACAGCACTGGTCCCAGTACTGACCCCTGAGGAATGCTACTCGTCACTGGTCTCCACCTGGATGTCAAGCCATTGACCACAACGCTTTGAGTGGGACCATCCAGCCAATTCCTTTTCCACCAAGTGGTCTACCTGTCAAATCCATGTCTTTCCATTTTAGAGACAAGGATATGTGTGGGACAGTATGAAATGGTTTGTACAAGTCCAGGTAGATGATGTCAGTTGCTCTTCCCTTACCCACCAATGCTGTAATCCCGTTGTAGAAGGCGACCAAATTTGTCCTTTTTGGTGAGTTTGATCTTATGCTGTCATGTAACTGCACCCTGCATTAGCACTATTTCCCTGGCTGAGGCTCAGCTGTCTTCGGAATGCCAGGGACCAGGCCAGTGCAATGCCAGGGGCTGTAGTTCCCACCGGCATTGCTGGAATTAACTTGCTGATGATAATGTGGTTAGCACCAGCCTGGGAATGGAGTGAGGAGGGGGGAAATCGATGTATAAGTTTCAGCCATGGTGCTGCGGTGAGTGGGGCTTGTTGAATGAAAGACTTGGACGGAGACCAAGTAAAGTGGTGGTATGTAGGGCTGCTATAGAACCGAGGTGTTAATGACGTGCCGGCTAGGAAGAGTAAGTGGGATCTGAGGCAATGTTGCACTCTTACGGCATCTTTGTTGGGTATGGGAGAAGGAAATTAAGCTTTTACGTTACAGAATTTCCATATGGAGCTACTCTTGTGCCTGGAACTACACTAACATTTGTGATGAGTGTGGAAGGGTAAACAGTGTTACATGCTTCTGTGGTTCCTTGCCACTTCCTTTTGCTTTCTAAAAATACAGTAACAAGAATATCGGGGCGGGGGGGGGAAGCAGGTGGCATTACTGAAATACGGATACTGTAATTCTTACACTGTCTGAAGGATGATTTTTTTTTTTTATTATTATTATTACAATATACCAAATGTGAATTGGATCCTCCTCAAAGTGAGGAATTAATTATGCTGCCTACAAGTTGGAATAACGTGAGAGAGCACCACACAGTCCTCCCATTGTGCTGCCAATGCACCTGCACAATGTCTTCTGTTCCACTTCCAGACTTCTTTTAGGCAATGTTTATTTGTGTCTTGTGTGGCATGTAGTAAGATAAAAGCTGCCAATAAGTGCCAGAGTAGACAATATCTTGTCTTTCAACATTGATAAGATATAGAAGTATCACGGTGAGTAAAAGTGGGGTAACCTGAGTCGCAGAGATGTTTACCCTGTCTGTGCCTTTCAGAGTTCAGGTTCACTGTTAATTTGATAACTTTAAATCCCCAGTCTTTATTGATCAGTGGTAAGGTTTTGGCATTTGCACTTCCCTGCTATGAAGAGTTATGCGTCATTTTCCTTTCTATCTCCTCAAATATGAATCGTCTCTAATTTCATTGAGTGATCAGTTATTCTCATGCTACATAAAACAGAGCACAGAAAGGCTGTCTTTTCTCTGTGCCATTTCATTATTATGTTTAATTGCATTAAGTCTCCTGTAATCTCTCCTTTATAAGGTACAGTCACAGTCTTTTCTGTCTCTTCCCATACTAAAATTTATCCAAATCCTTTATTATTCCTAGTACTATTATTGTCTGAATCGCCTGTAACATTGGATCATCTGTTTTTTGAGATGCAGTTACCAGCTCAGCATGAGGCATGACAGAGATAATGCTGATCTACATTAGAGCAAAGTTACCTCCCCACAGGTCACCATTTTATTCCTCACTTATCCTAATATTGTTTTTAACTGCAGTTAAGAATTTAATTTGGAAGAGTGATCTTCTTTGAGAAGTGTTATGTGACCCTGAGGTGTCTTTACTGAATTGATAAAGTTTGCTTTAAGAGGTATTAGAGGATGTGTAACTACATTTACTCCCTCTAGTACGTGCTGTTTTTAAGGTTGAGCTCATCATGATACTGTCTTTTCACCTAGATTTTTTCGATTTTTAGGGTTTATCTTGAAATCCTTCACTGTCACTTCTGGCCTTTATTCACCCAAATAATTGTGTGTCTACAGACTTTGCCACCTCTTTGCTAATCTTCTCTTCCAGATCAAGAATAAATGCAGTAAACAACACAGAACTGAGTTTACCCAACCTTTTTCCTGACATAAAAAAAAAAATAAATTATTTGCAGACTTCAGTTAGATGACTCAGATGATTTGATAAATTCTTTTTCGTTAGATTTCAGTAGCTAAAAGACCTAGTGATTGTTGCTAAATTTTTTCCATACAAAAAGCAGAACAAAACTAAAGCTGTATCAAATTTTCTTACAGACCCTGTCCAGAAGAATTTCAAATCCCTATTTGGAAACTCCTTCAAACAAGGTACTTGTCAAGCTTCTTTTTAATTCCATTTCATCAAACAGTATATTAGGAATCTCATTGCTTTGGTTGAACCTTTTAATCATAGCTTTGAAGATGCTTATGAATTTGGCCTGCAGTTAAATCCCGTTAGCAAGTTATAATTTGTGGTGTTAGAAACTAATTCTGTTACTGAATTTGCAAACTGAATTGTTGTGAATTCTGCCGTGCACTCACTTTCAGCCATTTAAACGATTGCCACTGTTTAGCTTACTTTTGCAATATTTGTTTTTCTTTCAAGCTAGTTATTCGTGTTACTGATGTGTTTTGCTGGTACGGTGAGCAAAATTCGTAACAGAAGCCTGAGTTAAATTCATGAGTAAGGAGTGGTACACAGAGTCCAGGTGGAACACAGTTTTCTGGAAGATGGAGTTGGGTCCTGTTTTGATAAACACATCTGTATCCTGGAGGTGTGAGGTAGAAAATCAGGTGTGGGTGAAGTTGAAGGTGTGTCCATTCTGAAAGACCACATCCTCCTGGCAGGGTATGGATGAATTGTCCTGTAGATACCATAGCATTCCTGCAAAGTTTCTGAACAAAAAGAAAAATCTATGAAATGGTGTTTCAATGTGTATTAGGCTTGTATTTAATTATTTAACTCAAATACATGGGGTTCTGCAATGCTTAATACAGTCTTTTTGCTTTGCTGGGATAATGCTTGTTTTCATTTGAGCTTGTCTGTTGTTCAGAGGTAAGGTTGACAGACAGTGAAACCTTTGCTGTTCTTTGGCAGCAAATGTAAAAGTAGTCCAGCTCGTGGGGGCATCCGCAACCCATGATACAACTGCGTATGCCAGAAGTTGGGGTGCCTTTCCTATGCAGCTTGGACTGCTTTCTTGTTGTTTAGCTGGGGAGAAGGCATCGCTCGGAGGGAGGGAGCGGACTGTGCTAAGGTGGTTTACTACAGCAGGAGTAAATCCCTGTTTGTCACAGTTTTCAACTTCTCTTTTCATTCAGATTTATGGAGAAAGTTCTTCCTGTGCTGGGAGAGCGCTCAGGAATATTTTTACTCTACAAGCATCTGACCTGATTAAAGACAGGGTGTACCTTACTGGCATTTGCAGGTAACCTGAGATCATTCATTTTAATCAACTGAATGGGTATTATTTGCATTCGTCTATACCCCGATTTGACAAGAGATTAGATTCTGAGATTATTGCTTGTGTTACTAAGAATCAAAAAAATTTTCTAAAAAAATACTTCAACATCTCATGGATTTTAATATCTTTTCTTAGTTGCTTTGTCAGCTGTCAGAAAGACGCAGTGGCCTGATTGTATCTCCATTAATTTAATTGCATATGATTTCATATACAATTGTGTTTGTTATTTTGTTGAAAAGAAAGAGTATTAAATTCAGCCCTGGTCTGGAGTTATAAAAGAAATTAACTGAATTCCTAAGATTTAGTTGCACAGTGATTTTTGTATGCAATTAATGGAATATTTTTGTAATGAAGTGATTTTCTATTTGTGTTGCATTACAGCATAAATGCTTCCTCCTATTTTCAATTATGCCAGAATGTGCAGGCCTCTATTATAGCACCACTCATTCATATCTACATTTAAGAAAAAGCCACACCTTCTTTTTTTTTTATGATTTAAGATAAGTTTAGCAATGATGTGAGAGATGAAGTACATCCTAGAGCAACGCTCGAGGTCTTGCACGTATATTGTACAGCTGTATTGTTTATGCCTATGGTCAGAAAGGAAATAAAATCCTGAGGCTACAAGCTGGATTTTATTTAGCTCTTATACATCTTTGAATGACTGTCTCTACACAGCACAAATTGATAAAAATATTACATATTGTGAAGTGTGCCACACGAATTAGGTACGTAAGGGAACTTACTCATCTAACACAAGTTCCCTTATTGTAACAAGGGACATCCCCTGAGACTTGCCAGAATAATTTCTTCCCTTGAAATGAGTAGGATTACAGAAATTAGTAATTGAGGCAAAGGGTTTGCCCTGTCGAACACAAGAATTCACTTTCAATAGCTTCAAAAAGCAGTGCTTTATTGTAAAAAAAGCATTTTAACATTACTATAGCGTAAGAAGTGATGTTTTCCTTATTTTCAGGAGAAGCTGTGTTGGATCGGAACTGGTAGACTGGCTTTTGGAGCAGTGCCCTTTTGTTAAGTGCAGATCCACGGCAGCTGGAGTGTGGCAGCTCCTCCTGGATATGGGCATTATATTGTCAGGTCGGTCTCGATAGTACTTCTAGTGTGAGGAAGGCTATCAGTTTCTCCTGCACAGGATAAGACTCACATTTTTGATGGGAGATGAAGGAGGGAAAGAAAAAAAAAAAAGTAGATTAACCCATTTTTCTTGATAGCTGTTTATTTTACCATCTCTTTGGTAGGCTCACCTCTGTGACCTTTCATTTCATAAATACCAAAGACGAATCTCTCTTGTTTTAGGCAACTTCCTTCCTTTTGCTTTTGCAAATATAATTGCCTATTACCAAGTTGCAGATAGCGTGTGTCTACATCAAGCGCTTTTAGGTTTTTCACAGGACAGCAGCTGTTTAGCCACTGCAGATCATGACTTCGCCAGATGACTTCTCTAGCTACTAGTGATTTTTCCCTTCCTCTTTCTGTTTTTCATAGTTTTAGATCAAAATGGCTTGAAAGAGGATTCGTCTCCTTGAGATGGTGGCAATGCCAGGTTCTATCCAGCTGTCTGCACCTTTCCCACCGAATTTAGGTCAAACTAATGTGGTTGGCAATAATTACACTGGTAACCAACCTCTGGAAATTTCGTGGGCTTTACTTTTGTAGCTGGGACTGCCTAGGTAGCTCAACTCAGAGCATACCCCGCCCTAGGGTATGTGCTAAACATTTAACTTTCCTTGCAAAAAAGTGAGCTGTGATGGAAGAGACTTCTTCTTATGTACGCTGGCAGTATACTTAAAGGTTTTCTGCTGCTCCAACTACACTGACAGTATGTCTGATCATGCAGCCTCAATAAGGGCTGAATTACTCTCCCAGCAGAAGCTTGTGCTTTTGGCTTTGGACCCCATCTTTCAAACCCAGTTCAATCCCAGTTAAGCCAGGCATGGTGATAGCTGTTTTACTGGTGCAGCAGCTGGGATAATGCTGGGCTGCATCTCCATTATTGAACTTTGCTTACTAGTACCTGGCCATTAGTGAGAAGAGATGATAAGCCAATGGAAATTGAGGCTCAGAAATCTGACAAATGGAAGGTTTTTATCCCCTAATTCTGAACTGATTCCAAAATTGACTAAACACTCAGCAGTCTTATGGCTTGAATTTCAGGAGCCTGGAGATCTTCAGATTGAGGCTTTGGGGTTGTCCTGTTCGGATGCAGAGTTAACATGAGAGGGCAGGATTGCTTCTATGCAGAATTTGCAATTCTTTTGCCCTGTGTGGTGGTGGAACTTGGCATTAAAGTCAAGTGCAATACAGAACGTGGTGGGAACACAGAACCTTTACATGGTAAAGGCTTAAAGGCTATCTGATGTTATTTTTTCTAACAGTGGACAGACATCTCTATTTTCAAGACACTCATGCTTTCTACCAGTTCTCAGCGGATGAATGTACCTACCTTTTCTGTGAATTTGAGAAAGACGAAGGATGGAAAAACGGAGTAAAGCTCCTACTTCAACTACTGCCACTGCCACCTGCCAGGATTGACATGTGTAACCTGTAAGTGTGCGTATACAGCTGTTTGCAACTTTTGCTGACTGTTTTGTATGTGGCTGGCTTGTAGTGACACTGTTTGCCCCCAAACCACTGTGCAAATGAGCCAGATTTCTTTTTCAGGGTTGACAGCCTTTCTAGAGATGGGCCTTTGATCTGAGAAGGTCAATGTGGGTAGATAAATGAAGACACTTGACTTGGGGTTTTTGCTATATTGTGGTTCTTGCTGACTCTAGCTTGCTATATTATTTGTTTGGTCTCTTCTTACATTTGGAGGTTTGGCACAAATTTGGCAGCAGGCATGCTGTGGAGCTGATTGAGTAGCAGATCAGATGCCTTTGTGCTGTGTCAGCTGTCAGATGGATAGGGAGGATAGGTAAAAATGTGGTACCTTCAGTCATCTGGTTTTAGTTTGCTACTGCATATTTGCCAGAGCTATGTAGTCTCACATTATAATTCCTTTTTCAAAATATGCCTCTTAAGAGTTTCACTTCATATATGTCTCCTCTTTCACCTGACTTGGATATTATCATACCCTCTGTGCTGATATAGCTGCACTCTAAATGTTGCCTATTTAGGGCAGCTAGAAGGAAGCCGTAGTTATTTGTGCCGCACTGAGAGGCCAAAATATAGGAAAAAGGTGTCACTAAGGGGTCTGGAGGTTCGTGATCCCTCATGCCTTAGCAAGTCTGCAGGAACTAGCCTGGATAGACAAATTGAATTAAACGCTTTCATTGACCCTAGCATGATGAGTCCTCAAACCTGATACTTATACTGGGGAGAACTATTACTCTGCCAGTACTAGGATTTATTCTCTTTGATGTCAAAACCAAAACTTTCTTCTGTAAGTACTTCTTTCTCTACATACCAGGTTTAAAAAATGCATTCTCTCAAATAAATGTTCAATGGAAATACTTTAAAGGAGCACAAATCTCAAAGTCCCTATAAGCTATCTCAAGCCCATCCTCTTAAATTCAGACGTGTTGAGCTGGTAGAAAAAAAATCTCAGTAATTTCTCTGCATGGCTCAGGGCAGAAACTTGATTCCCCCCCTGTTGCTGACTGCCCTCACCAACCAGAAAGTGGCAGTTCTGGACTGGAGGTTCCCTTGAAAATGCGTTTATCTGTCCAGCTTGAGTGAGTGTAGCCAAGTGACAAGGACTCCAGATTGGCTAGAGGAGGAGACTGAATGTGATCTTCTAAGCAGATGACTCATATGGGAGAAAACCTTTGAATACTTCTACAAACAGAAATTCTTGTCTTCCAGCCTAGTCTGGTGCTAAGCAGTTCGGCCGTTCCTTAAGTATCACGGTAATTTCATCTTGACTTCAGTGGGATTTGGGGTTTTCCTCATTATCGCTGCAGATCAGGCCACTTTTCATGGTTCGTGACTACTCGTACAAAGGCTTTGAATCAAAAAGACAGAACAGATAGGTCATATTGATATGTTACATGAAGGATGCTGGGTAAGAGAATGGATCGAAGACTTCGTAGGTTTGAGTTTAAAACGTATCCTGCATGCTGACCTCCGCCGGAGAGTACCACTATTTTACGGTCTGCTTTGCAGTTTTATCATTCCACTGCAACTGTCACTTCTAGTGGAGGATGATCCCTGTCACGTGAATTGAACAATTGTTCATTAATGTACATTTCCAGCTCCTTCCTGCTCACATTATTCAAATTTTAGTTGAAGCTGGATTTCTTTTGGGAACACTGTCACTGAAGAAGTATTTTCTGGAGGTTTTACCTGTCAGATTGTGAAGCTGCTTTTTAAAAAAATATGTATTGAAGGAATCGAATTTTAAATAATGGTATAGTCTCACGGGAATGTGATATTAAAGGGAAAGGAGGCTTTTCTAGGTTCAAAATTCTCCATGCTTAATGCAAATAATATGCTGCTAAAATACAATCTGAAAGGAAATAGATGTGATGAGTTATTTGTTAGTTAGCTCATGAGGTTAAATAAACCCATATATTTCATGAAGAAAGAGGACAATTCTAAAAACGCTTCCTTGCAGTAAGTGTCTTTTCTCAAATAAGTAAGCTGTTTTGCATACTATTAGAAGCTTAGCCTTTCTTGTAGTTTAATATTTTTGTATTCATTTTTGTGTCTTAGTTTTTCTTGTAGTTTGTATTGACAGCATTAATTCTGTATGTATGCAGGGATAGCGAAATTCTTAACTTGCCAGTTAGATTTGCTGCTTTTAATGAAATCAGAAGTGACTGCCTGCTTGTGCACAGAAGGCAATGTTAGACATCTCCTGGTGGTCCTGGGAGCCAGACAAGCTTTGTCTCCTCTGCAGCTGGTGGGCAGCAACCTGGTGCTTGCCTGGACTGCGAGGTGCATCAGCAGGGCTCTGTGGAGCACCGTGGATCTGCTCTCCCAGAGGACCCTGTAGACTTGAGTAGGCAGTAGCAGCTCTGGGGACTTCCTTCAGCTGCTTTGCTGGAAACCCTATTGAATAAACATGGCCCGTTCTTGCTGTACAGATTTTTGATGTATTTGTATTGGTTTCTGGTCAGGATTACCAGTGCTTCCAAATAATACTATATGAAGTTCTACAATGAAAATATCATTCTGAAGCCTGAGACATGCTTACTGTTCCTGAATAAATGCTCCCTGTTGCCTTTTGACCTTGGCAGATTCCCTACATTAAACATAACGTTGGTGGGAATCTATGATGGAAAACAAGATGGGACATAGCATATTTTTAGCAGCTCACACTAAACTGAAGGCTAATGTTGTTATGTGTATTCCACAGGACTCAGCCCCCCTAAATGTTGTCAAATGAGATGGGACTGATGCAAAGGCCTCTTGGGGTCATTAAACACCCTATGTTAATCACAGCCAATTCCACTTGAATAGAAAAAAAGTGAATACTGCAGTAGCCTGGGAACAAAAGATTTGTATTGAAAGCTGTGCCACAGACTTCCTTACAACCTTGAACATTAGGCTCTCATCCAATGCCTCCTGGACTCTTTTCCAGTGACTGCAATGGCTTTGTATTAGGTGTTTAATCTTTGTGTACTTCTATTTCCTTCTTTGTAAATGGAGGTGTTTATAACAACACCTAATTCCCAGACTGGTAGACTCAATGAATGTTTCAAGAATGCATTGGGTAGCTTGGACTATTGAAATGTATCCCATAATATGTTTTTTAATTATTTGAAGAGCTGTGAACGGGATTTTTTTCTTTTCTTTATCTCTCATTGCTTATTGGTTTTTTTTTTCAGAAGTGTTGCACTGTATTCTGTGTCTTCTGTCCTGAAATAATTAACATTTTATTAATTTCAGAAAAGTAACCGTTCTTATAAGTAATTTGTTTTTAATGCAAATAGCCAGAATGGAATATTCATTTAGTTACTGCCTTGTAGAGTTCCTGGAAAGGTTTTGCTGAATGCAAACAGCTATCAGGTATCCATGGGTCTTTTACTGGCTTTGTAGGTGGATTGTAAAGCCAGCATAGAGGCATATGTAGTGGCTCGACACTGGACAGTTGAGGTCCACGCCCAGGACCATGGGTGTATCTGTATTGCTTCTGCCGTCAGCAGGTCGGGAAGCACCGTTAGTTGCTTTCACGTGGCATACAGTAACAATTGTGCTGGACCTGAGTTGCCTGCATGCAGGTCTAGGGCAAGCAATCCTGCACCTTGCTCTGATTAACACACTACCGAGCCCATGGACTACTGAGCTAGTAGTCTAAGCATTAGGTTTGTTTGCCTGGGCTTTGTAGCTCCTGTTTGGTACCAGCCCTACTAGGTCTTAGCCGGACTGTTTTGAAAACAATAGAGTGGTATCTGTGCTGATTCTGTTCCTCCATATCCATCCTGTCTTACTCTTTTTCCATAGCCTGGGTGTCATAATACACTCTTCCTCTCTGATTTTGGAGAGCTGACTATAATTTTTAGTATATTAATAGTTTCAGAAGTATTTGATGCATGTATGCAGATGAATATTGTGAGTATTTTTAAATAGAAGATGAAATGATAAAGGCCCAAGACCGAAATAGCTATGCTATATGCTGTTCTGGGTTTATAGATTGCATCTGTGGCTGTCTCTACTGAGCTGCTGTCTTTTGCATCCAGTTTTGAAGCATCAGAGAGAGATTCTGAGAGATCAGAAAAGATCAACCGTGCAGGGAAACATAGGCATCTAAAGTGGTCAGTTATTTTAATCTCATTGCAAATTTGTAAAAAGAAAGACCGAATAAATCAGTCTTTGCAAATGAAACGGCATTCATTTATTTCTTTTGGGGCTGTTCATAATGTTTAAAATGTTAACTCACATTTTTCTTCGAAAAGAAAAGGCAGTTCTGAAAAGAATTGTGATTTCTAATCTGAATTACCATTTTGGTCCAAATATGCTTGCCCCAAAATGACTGTATGTGTCATTCAGTGCTTTCTGACCTTGATTCTTTTTTTAATCAGGGAAAGAAATTTTTTGGACATGGTATGTAGGATCCACAATATACCAGCTGCATATTCCAGACATGTTGTCAGCTCTCCTCCTAAATACATCAAGGCATATGAGCAGTTAAATAATTTAGACAAAGATAGAAGCTTTTGCTAATACCTGGGATTTATGTTTATTATAGCAGCTGCAATTTTGCGTATATGCTCAGTTTGCTGGCATGCAACACTTCTTGAATACTGTGAAAAGTAAAGATATCAAGGGCATTTTCTTTTTCTTCTTCCCGTGGTAATATTCCTATCATATTGCTATCTTTCTTCTGATTGTCAATAAACCTTCCAAAAGGCTTGTAGATGTTTTAGTGACGGGAACTAGACTCTTTTAAAGAAAAACACAGTCTGATCCATGCTGTCCGCAGCAGCTTTTGTGCAGCTTTTTCCATGTGGGCCAGACTTCTGTGACAGTTTCTGGAAGGGTTCTTCTTGTACAGCCCCACTTTTGCAAAGACACATTAAGTATCTCTGTCTTGTGAGTAACTGTCAAGACAACCTAATAGTGTTCTCAGCTGTTGCTTTAATTTGCTAATTTATGGCTTCTTAC